AACAAGCACAGCTCGTTGTCTGAAGCAAACGTTATCGGACTTCTACCCTTTGCGCTGATCTTCGGGCTCCCCCATAGCGTATGGTGGGCGTTCTGATGTGACCCATGGGCCAGGAGTGGATGATAGGATGCGTCCTAGTCTTCTGTGGTCAAATCTACTTGATGGCGACAGGTATGCACCGACAACAATGACAGTAAAACCCTTTTTCTTTACTGTTAAGCATATATATTGGTTATCGTTGTCAGCTGGTACAGACCGAAGAATGTAAGTCAGGTCACGGCGAATAAACAGCAGGACCTTGCTGTTTCCACTATAACAAGCCGACATAAATGATTCGTATCCGGAGAGTCTGATAGCGCTCGATAAATTTGGCTCGCAGATGACGATGACGGGAAACATATTGGTGGAAACGAACCGACGGAAATCTGCAATGCGTGATTTCAGTCCCTGTGCATTTCACTGAAAAATTCTTGACCTCTTCCCTGAAAGACAGTGGCTGGTGGGCCATTATCTACTCAAGAGCTGCCAGTACTGGACTCAGAGCGTCTAGTACTTGAAGTGCACTTCTGGCTGACGTTGTGCGCATGTTGTTTAACACCATGCGAATGGCATTATTATGGGTCGTAGAAGAGCAATCACTTGCTTATCCAAGTTCCGCTGCTCCTCTGTTGTCGCAGCTTCCTCTGATGAATGCGGCTTCTGATGCGGTTCTTCCACAAGTTGCGTGTGCGTAAGTGGCGGCCACTCTTCAGTTCTACTTGTTTTCTTTCTTCCATCGTCTGCGTTCGCTGCGGTGTACCCTGCAGTGGGCGCCGTTCCCAGATGCGTTGACTTACTTCTTGTAGTTGACTCTGTTCTTCGCGAAAACCTTCGACGGTGACGTCGTCGTCTTCGCCAGACTTTTTCCGTGGCCTCTTTGTGGGTAGAGCTGTCTCGCACCATTTTTCTAAGAACAGTAAACTCCTTTATGCGTGGACAGTCTTTAGAAGATGCGCTGTGGGCACCTTGACAATTAGGGCACTTTAGTATGGTTGCGCTGCATTTGTCCTCGGAGTGTGGTTCTGAGCATCGGGGGCACACTTCGGAGTTCCTGCACGCACCCTGCACATGGCCGATCTTCTGGCACTTATGACATTGCATAGATCTTGGAATAAATGGTCAGACCTGGTGACGAAAGTGGCTAACCTTCACATGGGAAGGGAGACAGTCCCCTTTCAACGTAATTCTCACATAATGTGTGTTACCAAGGCGGTCGACATTCACAATGACGTTATCTTCATTTGACGGTTTTATCAGCACTGAGAGATCCGAGTGTGGAATTTCAGTGGCGATGTCATAAATGACTCCTGTTGAAGTGGTGCTATCAGCTGGTATTATAGACTTGACATTGATGTTACCCAGTTGCGTTACTTTCTGAAGCGCGTTCAGCGCACGTGGGTTCAGGACATCGATTGCCAAGATGTTCCTTCACGCGTTTAGTCGCACTTCTTTGATCTCATTTGGCGTAATATTCTCGAGATACACAGAGAGCGCTTGCCTGTTCAGCCCGCGTAGACTGTCGGTAGCCTTCAGCAGCACAAACAGGATGGAGTGAGGCCATTGCTGAGGGGCAGTTTTTACGGTGGTCGTGCTTGATGCCCAAGATGCATTGACGATCTGTCGTTTATCCTTGTGGTACAGGACGGGTTGGAAGCCGTCATCCGAGGACTCGTCACTTGATGCGGAGTACAGCTCAGTGTCCTCACTCTCACTAGACGTGTTTCCTCGCTTCCTCGAAGCAGTCCCCACGGTCGAAGCGGACTCGGACGGTGCCCAGTGAGGTTGAAAATCCATTACCGCGATGTATGGAGCGATAGACCCCACAACTGCACGAAAAAACCAGAAAAGCACAAAGATGAGCAAGGTGTGTCCCGTAAACGAATCACTTCGTCACTCAAGCTCGAAATGAATGTTACGTAGTGAATAATTATATAGGTGTTACGTGAAGAATTCTCATTAACGCATGTAATATTGTGCGGGAAAAGCGTAGAATCACACCAGGTGCCAGAACGTTTGAAATGTGCAATGAGCGGTTGGTTTAAAAGCTCACCAATTACGAAGCAGACAGGCAGAATTAATTATTATCATGAAAAACGCGCGCATCTGCGCGTGTGGCCTTATCTAAGCGTAGTATCAGGTACCTCGTACTTTGAGGTACTTTCAGGTACTATGACATAGCTACTTTAGAGGTGCACAGTCGTTCCTTTCCTTGCGACATTGTTTACGTGTCCATGGAGACGCGAAGCTAGGCTATAAGTGATGTGAGCAGGGGCCCATTACGTTAACGCGTTTTACTCTTCAAGGCAATCGCTCAAGCGTCCTCCAAGTTTTCGTCGCCATATAGGATGACGAGCACCTGCTATTGTGTAACACAATATTTCATGCCACCTGCGGTCGCCAATAACGTTCTCCTAAATCAAAACCAAACCTGCGTTCTTTTGCCACGCTCGATTCTCAATAAACTCAATCCCTACAGACGTAGTCCGGTGTGGCATAGACGTAAAATGGTGCAGTGATGAAAGCGTGTTTAAACTCGGAAATCTACGTAGAGTGCCAAATCTGCACTGGCTCCACTATGCTCGAAAGGCGTCACGTAACAGAGGCTTAATGATTCTTGGTCAGACACAAAGTCATAGCTGCGCATATCTCTCAGCATGTAGCGCACATGCTTCGCAAACCAAGTTGCCTGTCTGGTTAGCTTGATTGTTCCGGTGAGGTCCCATCGTATGTAGAATGTCAGCCCTGGTATTAAAAGGGGCCCGTTACAGATTTAGAGCCAGTTGTCTAGACCGGGCTTTACCATTTTCGCTGTTTACGGATGACCACAGGCATTTCACCACGACTCGGCGAGATATTATCACGTTCAGCAACACTCACAGTGTATACTACACGAGTGCCCAAATACCCAGTGGTGCTTGGCACCACAACTGCAATCATATACTTATGGTCCATCACCCACGCTAAGCTGTTGCTTGGGAGATCACTAAGCCTTAGGGACCCTTCTGTAACTCTACAGCACAGAGTAGTTTAAAATATGTAGCCTTAAGTGAGACGAAATGTCCGCAGTGGCGTATTCCCTTTAGCTGGTCTTGATATCTTATCAAGCTGTGTCACCAAACCTTACAGGCTGGCTCACAGCTTTGTTCGCAATCGCTTTGCTCAGGGCAACACGAATAAAAGGCCTCATAGATGAATCCCACATTGTATGCACTGAAAAGACGGTCGAAGACATGGTTGGTGTAGTTCGGGGAGAATATGCATATGTCACTGTTGCAAAGCACGTTATTTTTTCAGCCAGCTGGCAAGAGAGAGCATTGTGTGTTAAGCGACTTAATGAACACAAGTATACCACGCAGAAACACTGAGAATCATTTCGCTCATGTACATAACAATAGACAAAAATATATAAAATGTGTTAGCAGATCTTTCACCACACGAATGTTAACAGCCTCGAACACGTTTCACATAATGCTGATTGATTGATTTGTGGGGTTTAACGTCGCAAAACCACCATATGATTATGAGAGACGCCGTAGTGGAGGGCTCCGGAAATTTCGACCACCTGGGGTTCTTTAACGTGCACCCAAATTTGAGCACACGGGCCTACATTTCCGCCTCCATCGGAAATGCAGCCGCCGCAGCCGGGATACGAAACCGCGACCGGCAGGTCAGCAGCCGAGTACCTTAGTCACTAGACCACCGCGGCGGGGTCGTTTCCATAATGCGATTTATTTGCAATGTTCATGTCATTTCCATAAATGGAACTCCGGGAAGGCAAATTACTTTCACTTTTCTTTCATGCTTTCATGTTCCGTCTAAGTAGTGTCTGTTTTACAATGCACTGCGTCTTTCCCGCTAAACTATTTCCAGCAGAAGCGTTCATACTTAAAGCGTCATGGTCATGTGAGGTGGGGATTCAAAGGTGGCGTCGCCTTGCTCCTTATTTTTCAGTATCGTGTTTATTTTTGTGCCTTATCACGTCTCCTGTAGCGACAACATTTACTCTCCTATGTGATAGAAGCACACAAAACAACAAAGAAATTAGAGACGAAACTGAGAGTATTACCATGTGCGATTGAATTAAAAACGATAGCATAACTCCAAGAGATAGGAAAGCAGCACAGTGTGCCACAGAACAGATGGGGATAGTCTATATCCTATCTCATACCGGAGGTGGGGGGGGGGGGGAGGGAGAGACTTAGCTGCGGGAGGCCACACTATGGAAAAGATGGGCACACGATGACCACTTAGAGCCACGAAACGAACACAGAGAGCGACGAAATGAAAAAAAAAACAATTGTTGGCATAGAACGAAATCATATCGCGAAGGACATGGTGGGTTGGAGATCACAGAGAGAGACTTTTGTTCTACAGATGACATAAAATTGCCTGACGATGTTAGCAACAATAATGATGATTACGAGCTCACTACGAACACAGCTTGACTTTTCTCTTCAGAATCCCTTAAATTTTTTGTACCTTTGTATTTGTGTAGACATAAACTTTTCACTTCATTATTTCTTCTCGTTTTACCCTCCTGCAATAACGCCCTCGTGGAGCTGCATATACTTGTATAAACAAATAAATAAATTGAAGAGAGCGTGCACAGTGCACCTCTTTTCAATGGCGAAGCAAACACTCATAGACTGACACTTAAAGCATCCATCCCTTGGCATAGCGACTTCGTGTTCAGGGATAGCGAGGTAAACACAAGCCACTTATCGCTTTCAGTTTGCCAAGAAGGTGAATCCCTTGAAGCAGAACGTGTGCTCTGCGCGCGCGCGCTTTCGCCTTGCACGCGTTCCCACGTTCCGGAGAGAGAAGGTGGTGGGGGAAGGTTGGGGACATTGGCTGCTTTCTCCCGCCGCACTCGCCGCGAGAATGTCTTCCTAGACGCCACGTGACCAACTGGGCAGGCCACTAGGTCATGCGAGCACCGGTCGTATAAAACCCACTTGCGACTAGGGCAACCTTCCTTTAGCGTGTTCCCGACTCTCGGCAGCAGCAGGGCGGCCTGCGCACGCTTGCGTTCACCGCATACACGACGTTCTTGTGTGTTGTCCCTCCGTGCCCGTCGTCTACCATCGCTGTGACAGCGTGCCCAGCGTCGAGCAGTTCGCGATACTGTTGGGCGCCTAATTTACATACCATAGCTCCCGGACTGAAATAGAATCCGCCGCCACACCAACCATTCGGCCCACTTTCTCTCCCCTTTCCCCCTCTCCTCTTCCTTCGGTGTCCTTCTCCCTCTCTTATTCGGAACCTGCCCCCTCCTCACCCCGAGACCCTTCCACCAGTTCTCTACAACCACCAGTAACGACGTGTGACGTGTCTTGATTCCTACCGGCCCTCGTCGCCGTCCTCTCCCATCCTTTCTCTGTGGATTGACGTGGCCCGCGACAGAGACGCTGCAGTCGTCGGCAAGGCAAGGCAGGCATCATGGTAAGTAAGGCCTTCCTTGCTCCTTCCCGTATCGCGGCCTGTATGCGGTAGCGCCGCGATCGCCATCGCCGCCGAACCGACGCGTTCCTCTTCCTGTCCTGGTCGCGTAACCTTCTTTTCACTACACGACTGCACGCACAATTTATCTTAGCGCATTTGTGTCATTGGCATATTTGGGGTTTTCGTTTCCGGTATTATGTCGGGGTTCGGCAGTGTTTGAAGCTCATGAACACCGGTCTACGGTCGTGCCCCGGTATAATAAATTGAGCCATGTGGCCCATAGAAGCCGAGGAGGGAATGACGCGAGGCCTTCCCGTGGTGGCTACTTATTACAATGCACCGTGATCAGGGTTTTCGCAATATTTTATTGATTGGCATCTGTCGTTAATCCACAGCGTCTCGAAGGAAGAAAGCAGACAAAGGGAGGTTAAAATAGAGAAAAAGCTCACAATATGATATTGGAGTATAGGCACATCGCAACGTTTCAATGCACAATAGGCCACACAATTTTCGAGATTACTGAATACTACACATGAATTTAGAAGATTGTTCTATCATTATTCGCTTAATTTGTCTCAATATAAGCACAAAAATGGAGAAATTTTGTAGTGTGTGTGGGCGGGGTGCTGAGAGGGATGGGTTAGTTCCGATACAAACTCACGGTTAACTGCTGCTGCCCTAAGCTGGGTCTACATTTTCATTGTTCTACCCCATCTTCTTTCTTTGACTCTTTGAGAGTTCAGCGTTACTTTCCAAAGTGTGCCTTCAGAGTTTTGCGAAACACGTATAAAGTGTTCTGCATTTACCTGGTTGCTTGGTAAAATGTCACTACTTATTAGCGGCTTGTGTTCGCTGATAAATTTGAGCACGCGTTTTTAACTACCAGTGAATTCACTTTTTAGAGACATTCACGCTTATTGGAATATCGAGTCTCGACGTATTGTACAACATACAGGTGCAACACTTCTAAGCGAGATCCCGTTGACAAAGAAGCGTTATTGTGATTTTTGGTGACCATACGCTTGCATATTCAGAGTGTACAATGCTAACAAAAAACTGTATCATTGTCATAGAGATACGATGACAAAAACAGTAGTGTATAATATAAGCTTGCTCTATGCGAAATCTCCGAATTCTTATGCCGATGGAGATACATTGTCAGATAAGCTATTTGATATTAAGGCTGATTATATTGAAGATACGAACATTGTGGCTCTAACAGCGAATCTTAAGGATGTAAATTTCAGAATCTTACCGCCAGTTTAGTATATTAATACACCAAGCTTTATACAAAACGGGTGATCATTGGTACTTCGTTTGTTATTCTGTGCTTTCTACTGTGGTTTATCTAACTCCAAATAAATGTACTTCTTCCGCATATGGCATCGTGCAAGATGCACAGATGTGTATTTCAGAGGCTCATACTAAAGGCTGTGCATAAGTACGAGGCTCGGATTTCTTTAGAGTATACATGACTTCACAAAGAAATGAAAAGTTCTGAGTTGTATATGTGCATGTTATAACAACATCTTGCGTGACCAGATTCAATGAAAACTGCTGGAAGGGAGTTGAGTGGGCTAGGAAGCGTAACGCAACCATTAATTACTCTAGTCCCGAGGAGTCTACCCGTGAGCCAAAAAAAGTAGATTTATTTGAACATTTACATCACTATGATTTAGAGTTGATCTTTTCACTACCAAAGGTGAGCGTTACAAACAAGAATCATCATCCCATTTTCTTTCCAAGCCTTTTAAAAAGGATTGAAATGCAGGTGCACTCGCAAAAAAAAGTTTGAATATTTGCAAAATTTTGATGGTTTTACGTCACTTTACCCGCTATCGATTCCGCCACGAGTTTACAAACTTTTTTCAGAACTTCTGACTTAGGTTTATAGCCTGTAAAGACATCTCGAGAACTCGATCTATATTCGTCGAACTTTGTATGCGCCCAATGAAAGAAACTCCAAAGTATTGTGGTTTACTGCCGCTTTCAGGTACCACCATTTGCACACACAAGCTACCTAAACAAAAGAAAAAAAACAAGACAATATTTTGTGTTCCACATACCACACCTAACGGCCACACAGCTGTACGCCATTGTGGCGTCAAGTGCAAACCCTTATGCAAGAGGTGATCGCCCACGTCTTCCGCACCGGCTGCGAATCGTAAAGAGGTAAAATAAGCGAACTAAGACCACCGGGACGTTCCACGTAGTGTCCACAATGAGACAGAAAAAAAAAAACGCTGAAAATCACGGCCTGTCAGGGCTCTCTATAGGAAGGCTGGGCGCGCGCGGCATTCCAAACGCTAACGGCTTCACCGTTATGGCGTCAGCTCCATGGCACTTACGCAAGAAGCGGCAGGTCTACCACGTCTTCGAAAGCTGGCTGTATAGATTGTACGGCGATAAAACCGTCGCAGTCGTCATTCAAGGCCGTCGTTACGGCTTCACATGGAGACATAGGTTTCCCTTCAAACCGGCGTTCACACGCAACACGCGCTATTGGGTCGCACCAAAGCGGGCAGGAGGGCTTCCATGTTTACTTTTGCCTCTTTTTTGTCTTTTTTTTTCGACTCATGTCCTCGCCCGTCGCACTACAGGTGATACTGCGCGATAGAGCTTTACCAGTTCCGATAAGGCGTTCGATTTACATCCCCTCAAGGATGTGCGCTCCGTGTTTGGACGTTTCGTTTTATGCGAGGACTTGGGAGTTTATTAATAGCCTAAGGCTTATAGTCTATATAGACACGAGTGTTACCTCTCGACTGGGGTTCCTTCTGCAAACACGATTGGCTGACAGTGTTGCGACGCTGTATTATAGGAGAAGGAGGAAGGAAATTGCAAAATTGGCACGGTATAGAGTCAGCGACGAGGACCAACGTAATTTTTCAAGAAAAGGTAGTTTAAATATTCTGTACGTGCTAACGTTGTCATTCATTTGGTGGGCCCAGCCAACTGAGCAACTCTCGAAGGTTTCTTTTTCTTGTAATTTGAAGCAAAACATTTCTATGCACGTTCAGGCCCGGCCGATTGTAGTGTGTGATCGTGTACTCGGTGTTTTTTTTTTTATAGCCTACATCTTCTTCACGAAGCAGTCACGTTCAATTGTGGAAGCATTTTGAGAGTGCGCAAGTTGATATTGCGAAATTAGACACTGGTTAAGTTCCCGCTATTCGCGTGGCTCCGTAAAAACTCTTCGTGCCAGCCACATACGAATATCTAAATTTTACGAGAATAAAAAGATCAGGATTTCTCGCTGCATACGGCCTCAATTTTGTTTCCTGTAACGTATTACTGTTTTTCATTGTAGAAAATTGCGAGGGCTATACCATTGCAATGGTATAAGCTTCTTCATTCATTCGTTTACAGACATTCATGTTAAAAAACAAGAAACGTATGACGCTTTTTTTTTTCACGTACCTAAATTTGTCTATAGGTTTACAGGTAATGCTCACACTAAAAAAATAATGAGCTAATAATGCATGTTTAAAGTGACGAGTTTTTTTTTTCTTTTGCAAAATAAGCGCACTTGAAAAGTTTCAAGAGGGCTGGTACTCTTTAATGATTGACCCTTTACCCAGAACAGTCTAAAATATAATGCAAAACGCTTGCAATAATTTAACACGTGTTTTCTGACGCGCTCAAATAATTTTATTTCAACCAGCGCCGCGGCCAGCATTATACAGCGTCGTAATAGTAGCCTCGAGTTGGTAGAGTTTTTTATTCATTATTTCACGGGAGAATACACGGTATATTATTGAGTTATGATTTAATGGCTATCATCGCCAGTCAGTCATAACGTATACTTACGATTATCAACTGGGAAGTCCAACTGATATGAACATTGCCTTAGCTGCTTCCAAACATGTCGCCCGTTTCGCCTTCAAGCCAGTATTCTTCGTTTTATCTCAGAAGGGTTACCGTTTTATTAGAGCAGAGCTGCTATGCTGGAGGTTTTGCCCTGTGTGTCATCCTCTTCTTCCTTGTCTCCTCCGCTGACAGAAAACGCGTGGCGAATCGAATTGATTTATATGGGGCATTTGACGTCCCAAAACCATCATATGATTATGAGAGACGCCGCAGTGGAGGGGTCCGAAAATTTCGATCACCTGGGACCTCCCAAGTCTGAGCACACGGGCCTACAGCATTTTCACCTTCATCACGTGGCGATTCGAATTCTCCAGCGTGCTATGCCGTAACTCTGATGGGCGAGATAACAAGTACAGAGAGATATAGAGAGCGAAAAAGAGAAGAAAGAGACAAATTCTTGCGAGGCGAGACTTAAACACGCGTACCAACGATCCGAGGCAAGAGTAGCAACCACTCGGCTTTTCCTGGCACGTTAGCAGAGCATAGCATAGCCTCGTATGGCATAGTGTGGCAAAGGAGTGGGACACGGAAGTGAGGGTGAGGATATAAGGGAGGGTAAGGGGAAGTAAAACTAGGAGGGGAGAGATCATAGTACAACATATAAACAATGAGTGAAGCGGGGGATAAAAAGGAAGTAAAGTCATCAATATAAAACAAGACAAAGAAAAAGAAATACGGAGCGAGAAAGATGAAAAAAATAGAAATAAAGAGTGACAAAAAAGATAAAGAAACCATATGTATGTGTGGTACAGTATTATGGTGGTTACAGTATAGCAAGAGAGGGAAAGACAGAGGTAACAGGGTAGAAGCCGAGCCAAGCCAGGGCCAGCTAAATACCCACCAATTGTGCTGTGACCTTGCCTTGAGTGACTTAATGCAATTCGCGATAATTGTTTCGTAGCACTCCTGGGAAGACACGTTTGAATTTTAAAAAAAACGCGGATTCATCGCACAACTCAGAATTCATGTGAAGTGAACATCTCTGCCATCTTTCTGGCAAAGGTTTATCAGTATTCGCGCTTACATTAATGCGCATGTTTTTGGAATGGTTTCACGAGTTGCCCATGTGAAGTTCACATAAATTGCCACATGCGCAATGCCTCTACATAATTCGTTTAGGCGGCACGTAT